GGAGCCACAGCCCTGCCCAGCCCATGGCCTGGACAGAGGCAGCTGCACTGGAGGAAGAGGGAACTGGTAGCAGCACTGCTGTGCTAGAGCCACCCTCCACCCGGCCGGACAGGTGCCTGGCCCCGCGCCGTGGGTCCCACACTCACCATGCAGACAATAGGCTCCATCAGCTTGTCACTGGGCACCTCCATCCAGGTCATCTCGGTGGCGCCTGGGTCACCAGGCGAGCACGGCGTCAGGAGATCATCCACAAAGGCGCCGGGAGTGGTGCGGGAGGGACCACGGACCTGCGGGCGAGCCAGTCAGCATGGTGCTTGTGGGTGTGACGGCGACCACGGCACCAACACCAGCTGTGGTCTCCCCACTCCAGGGATGGACCCCCAACCCGCGTCTGGGAGCAGCCCCACTCACCTTCTTGAAGTGTGTGGCCGACTGCACCTTGCGGACAGGCTGCATCAGGGCATCCCGCACGATGATACTGATGTCGGCCCCCGAGTAGCCATCTGTTTTCCGGGCCAGCTCCTGGATGTTGGCGTCTGTCAGGCAGTGTGGGGTGTTGCCCAGGTGCAGCTTGAACATCTGGGCCCGGGCCGCCTCCTCGGGCAGTGGGATGTAGATGCGCTTCTCGAACCTGAAGGGATTGCAGGCAGGCGGGGGGGGGTGAGCCCCACACTGCCAGACCCTGCCAGGGCACGGCCCATGGGTCCGGGAGCAGGGAATGGGAGTTGTGTCCTGCTCACCTTCTCCTGATGGCCGAGTCCAGCACCCAGGGGATGTTGGTGGCACCCAGTACCAGGATCCCATCGCTGCTGTTCCCCACACCTGCCCAGGGAAACAGCAGGGAGACAGCTCAGAGCAATCCCCAAGGAACCGTGGGACACAGGTGTCCAGCAGCTTTTCCCACCCCCCTGCACCCCACCTCTCCCCGAGCCCCTTCCTCCCCACGCTGGCGCGTCCCACCAGGGAAGCCCCCACACACCCTGCATCTGCACCAGGAACTCCGTCTTGATGCGCCGGGCCGCCTCGCTCTCGTTCTCATTGCGGGAGCCACACAGCGAGTCCACCTCATCGATGAAGATGATGGAGGGCTTGTGCTGCCTCGCCAGCTCAAAGAGGTTCTTCACCAGCCTGGGCACAAAGACAGGGGATGGGTCCCAGTCAGGGACTCTCCACAGCACCAACACCACCCAGAGCACCCGACAGCCCTGTGGCGAAGAGCCCCACGCACCGCTGCCTCCTCCTGCCCCTGCCTGCCCTGGCAACCCTGTGCTGGCACCGAAAAGGTGAGCGCCATGCTGGGAGAAGGGCCATTCCCAGGCTGTGGAGTCTCAGGAGGGCCCACGGTCTCCCCTGGGACCCGTTATCTGCATTAACGGGAGTTCATGGATGCTGGTGGCTCCCCTGCCCTGGCCAGAGCTCTGACACTGCCACCCCCCCCAGCAGGGTGGCAGGGAGCCAGCCTGCAGCAGCAGCACATCCCTGCTGCCAGCTTACTTCTCGCTCTCTCCCAGCCACTTTGACATCAGGTCCGAGGAAGACACGGAGAAGAAGGTGGAGTTGTTGGCCTCTGTGGCCACAGCCTTGGCCAAGTAGGACTTGCCGGTGCCAGGAGGCCCGAAGAGCAGGATCCCTCGCCAGGGCGTGCGCTTCCCTGCGACAGAGGCCAGTGTCGTGACTCCCCCATCCCTGTGCAGCCCGGATTGGGTGGGCCCACAGGGACATGCATCCCCGCTGCTTGGGGTCGCCTCCCTGCACACGTTTGCCCCAGCTGCCACCCCACAGGACCTTCTCCGTGGGCAAGTGGCAGCCACGGCGCTGCCGTGATCCTTACCGGTAAACAAGTGTGGGAACTTGATGGGCAGGATCACGGCTTCCTTCAGGGCTTCCTTGGCTCCCTCCAGGCCGGCCACGTCACTCCACCGCACATTGGGCTTCTCCATCATGATGGCACCTGTGAAGGGGCGGTTCTGCTCACGTGGGCACTGTGCTCCTGATGTCTGCCAAGGGCCAGGAGAGCCAGAGCAGCCTGTCCCCCCCGACACCTCCACCCCACCAAAGCCCCGACAACCCCACTGCCCCTCAGCATAGAGCATGGCTTA